TAATTAACTACAATAGGTCGATATTCATGACAATTATATAAAAATTAGCGATATACCAGTTCTATGATAATTTGTCTATACAATAATTTGTTTATACGATAAAATAAAACTGGTAAAATGAGTGAGGCAACTTGATACGATTTCATGTAAATAATATTATGGCAGTCTTCGAAATATATTCTGGGAAATCTACTGGGAAGTCATGGTTTGAATACATAAACAGAGTAAATTAAAACCATTTACAATTTATTTTCTAACGGTATTTTACTAATAGAAAAAAAATCATCGCTTAAATTGCAAGAAATACAAGAAAATATAAAGAGAAAATTAACAAAAATACTGTTCAATTGTAAATTATTATATGCAAGGCGGTAAAGCCACTAAGACACAAGAAAAAAACACTAAGGAGCGAAAAGTATAGAAGACAAATCAAGACGGTAGGTAAAGATCAATATTGTATTTAAAGTTTTGAAGATCACAGTTGTCTGAAAAGCATGGAGTTGGAAGAATGTTCCTAGCCAGAAGTGAGTGAGAACAATAGAAGAGTAATCAGGAAGACAGTAGATAACGATTGACATTGCATTTAAATTTTTGAAGATCAAAGCTGGCTGTAAAGCATGGAGTTGGAAGAGTGTTCCACAAGTGAGAAGTGAGCGAGAACAATAGAAGAGTAACCAGGAAGTCAGTAGATAACGATTGACATTGCATTTAAATTTTTGAAGATCAAAGTTGAGTGGAAATCAAAAAGCCTGATCAGCAGATTGGCGGTTTTGAGAAGAGTGGAACAAGCTCTTAATTGCTGTTGTTCCTAGATTCACCGTAACCCCGGATGATAGAACCTGTTTATGTCCCACCTATGAGCAAATACTAAACTCACACACAAAAATACATTTTTTTATGATAAAATGAGCAATAATACATTTTTATAGCAAATTTACAATCAATGCAACAATAAAAAAATATAAAAATACATTTTTATAGTAAAATTACCAACAATACATTTTATGACCTACAAGTTATATATCTAAGAAAATATACCTTTACTCACAAACATAAAATTATGTAAAAAAAAATATTCTGTTGAAGCCATAAAATTGCATTCAAAATATTTAGATAACCCATAGAGGTGTTGTTAAGCTGCTAAACAAAATCATTAACAACTGAGAGTTCCTCAAACGAGAAGTGCGAGAAAAGAAACTGTTAGCATAGAATTACGATTACATCTCGTCAAATCACAGATGAATTGGTGAGACCTTACCGCCACTCTAGTACTGCGCTTAAATTCATATGGTCTTGTTACCACAGTAGAACGTTCCTCCGAACAATTACCATTAAATTATTTATAGAAAAAGAAACAGGGGAGCTACATTACGGCGGTGGGGAAAGTGACTGAAGCAGAGATGCCAGGTCAGGACCAACAATATTTCTGGTTCTTCTTTGGATCTGATCCGGTAAACAATCTCCCCAAGAACCGCTTCGTAACCTCTTCAAGTCCCGGACCCACGGCTACCTCCGATTCAGTAATCTCATTCGGTAACCATCTACCTTGAGTGGCTTTTGGGCTTTGTATTAGGTGAACAACAGTAAAAAAGGAAATAAATCCCCCAGGAGGATACGCAGTTTGGGATGACAAGAATATTGATAAACATCTAATTTTTGAATCTCTGCATATAACAGTCTTTATATATGATCAATTACTATAATTCTGTTTATATGTTTAAATCTCTTGCCATTTTAGGAAGTAGAAGATCATGGCTCTCCAGGGATTGTGTTTGCTATTAATGGCTAATTGTTATTTCTTAGGAAATGTAGTAGAGTGATTTCTGAGACTAGTTTCCATCCAAGGCTAAAGAACCCACACTACTCTTGCATACCTATCATAAAAAAAGTAAACAAATTCACTTTATTTTTATTATCAAGCCTGAGTTGATCTTCGATAAGTATTGAACTTTTAAGTTAATATTAATAATAATAATAACAATGTTTATATATATACATACACACACACACACACATATATATATATATATATATATATATATATATATATATATGAAGAAATATTATTTTAAGGTTTTGCTATATTTATGGGATAAAGTGCTCAATATCAGAGATAGAGCGTATGTAAATATAAAATTGAACATTGAAGTCAACACATAGAGGCGACAGACTGTTTCATGCTAAATGCAATCATCAGGCCACATGTGTTGGCTTTTTTCTCGACTATTAATATTTACGGGCCAGTCGTGCATTGTGTGTAGTCTATTCTAATGGTTATTTTGGCGGGAATGGTTAGTTTATTTATTTGAATTAATTTATTTCACTTGTTTTTTTTTCTTTTATTTATTCTTTTCAGTTTATGATTTGTCAATAAGGTATTAAAAAAACTCATCTCAATTTTTTTTACAAATGGTTTATATATATATATATATATATATATATATGTACTGTGCACAGGTAATAAGACGGGGTTTCTCGAATATGCAGGTAGAAAGACGACAGAAACACTGTTTAATAAATAAAATGGGTCGTCGTTTTCAAATAGTATCCACCATAATTTTGTTTCATCTCGCCAATGTCTTACTATTTCTGCCGCACCATAAAACGGATTAAAATTGCAAAATTGTCCAATTGTTAGATTAATATTAATCTATATTAGAACTGATTAAAGATATCTTACTGGAATTCTCCGAGGCTTGTAGAACACTACCAGACTCTACTTTGAACAAAAAGAATGTATTTAACTCTAAGTTAAAATGACGATCCCTCTTCCTGTAGTGACTTCTTGATTCAGTTTTCCTCTCTAATTTTCCCTCATTTTTAAACTATTTTACCGTTCTCTTGATGCTTCATGAACGGACATTGAAGAGTGAAGCCAGAGTATGAATGCTGGTACTATTACTGAAGGCTTGAATGGTCACATTTCACTCACCCTTTCTCACTTGGGAAGACGTAGTCGGACTGACATAAAACGATTACTTCAGAGGATAAAACGCGTCGGCTAAGATAAGTTTTCATTTACCTTGATTCATATGTAAAATTTTGAAAATGGAAATGCGAATTAGTTTCAGAAAAAGCAATATGAAAGATTTGTTGTCGCGATATTGTGAAAATGATCTTAATTCTATACAGAAACTCTTATAAGATTATAATTAGCAACATGAACGAAGAATTATAAAGAAAAGATGCAGAATAAGTACTTACGCCATTTTTTAAAGTTATATTCACTGTTCTTTAAACACGAAAAACGACAGCTTTGAGAAAAGGTTCAATGATTCATTGTTTAAACATGCATACAAATACATATACACACGTCACATTCTTTAGTTTTTCGATCTGATGAAGCCTAGAAAGGCGAAACGCGTAATAAAGTCTCGTTTCAATCAAAAGGTTTTCCATTTGTCATATTTCTCAAAAACTTTTCAGGTTCTAGCTTTATGCCTGTATGTGTATATATATATATATATATATATATATATATATATATATATATATATATTATTGTTATACAATATTTTATAGGTACATACATATGTGCATGCATGCATGCATACATATATATATATATATATATATATATATATATACATTATTTTATACGAACAATTTATTCAATTAAATTTATTCAATTAAATATACTGTTTTTGATTAAAAAGTATTAATTAAATTTACCGGTCAGAATGTTAGAGAAATTTCGTAGAGGATATGCGTTCTCCGACAGGAATCGAACCTGTATTCTCGATAGCTAAACAGTATAGCACGTCAGATGAAGTTTCCGTATATATATAGAGAGAGGGAGAAAGACAGTAATGATGCAATATGGTAAGCCATATAGAATTTCCAGGAGGATAGTGATCCAAGGAGAGCTCTATCGAAAGATAGAGTAAAAAAGAAGTCTTGGACATTGACACCTGCTGATTTAAGAGCTCTCATGAAATAAAAATTATTACCTATGGGAGTTTAAGAGTTTCAAATACTTAATAATGTTTTATATTACTTATAATTATATATATATATATATATATATATATATATATATGTGTGTGTGTGTGTGTGTGTGTGTATTAGTATTTTAAATACAGACTTGACTTCCAGTCTGCTTTTACAATACTAATCTTCAAGGCAAGTAATCAGGCTGTCATCTCGTTGAAAGGAGTGTAAATTAAATAATCTAAATGTATTTGTATATCATTCTACAACTCCATCTCTATAGTTATTTCCGTTTAATTAAGAATGCTCTGAATAGTGTTTTACAAGTGAAAAAAAAAACGATCTTAATCCATACGATTTTTATTCCGCACCTAACTCGAAAGCCATGCCTTTTTTATCTTTAAACGAATTAATTGATAACTTTAAATAGTCAGCCAGAAACGTCATGATTGCCTTATTACACTGTTCTTTGAAAGATAGGCGCGAGCATTAAGCTATCAGTTGTTGTTCAACTTCACAAATATCAATTTAAAAAGAAAATCACGGTAATTTTGTGTGTATATATATATATATATATATATGTGTGTGTGTGTTTGTGTGTGTGTATGTATGTATGTATGTATACGTTGTTAAAGCCAGTTTAGAAGCAGTAGTCAAAAAACAGTTGTAGCTGGTCATAAAATTTGTCGCATTCGACACTAACATGAGCAGCGTGTTATTCACACCCAACTCACTGTTTTCCGCTCTCTATCTCCGCCTCACGCTCCCTCGCACCATCTATCTATCTATCTATATATATATATATATATATATATATATATATATATGTGTGTGTGTGTGTGTGTGTATGTGTGTGTGGTGTGTGTGCGCGCACGTGGGTCGGTGCGTGAGTGCGTGTGTGAAAATATCTGACATAAATTTATATATCCGTAAATTCACTATAAAGAAGAAACAACTTCATAATAATTCTTTGTTAGTCTCTATAGACACACACACACACACACACACACACACATATATATATATATATATGTAATAAAAAGGCTCAAAAACTAATATTCCATGGTTAC